AAGCTGATCCCAAATCTGGATGGAGCAGCACAGGTAAATGCTGAGCCTTCCTCTGAACAGCATCCAAACCCACTGAATTGGAACTCACTTTAAAAATACAACTCATGTTATGAATGTCTCAGTGACATTTTAATTAACTTGAAGATGTCCAGGGAGCAGAAAACATGCTGCAAAATTCCCATCCTTCTACCACATCTGTGATGAGTTAATGCCATGTGGTGAACGCATCATGCATTCAGTCACAGCTTAGCTCTGCCGAGGTCAACCCACGACACAGCAGTTATATTTTGGAACTCATTCAACCATCTTAACTATTTGCCGAGGAGCCACCACAACCCCACCTACGTGGGTGAGCTTTGCAGCTGCACAGCTCTCATGTGGCGATGTAAGGGGGCACCCATGGCATGGGGACCTTATGGGATTGGGAAGCCCCACTCTCAGTCATCCTACCCTGGCTGCTGTCTGCTCTAGAGTTGGGAAAAAAGTCATAGAACTTTCTTTTTGGGTGCAGGATGAACAGACGCTGCATCCAGCACCTTTTCCGTGCTTGACATGCATGGACAAGAGGGAAGGGAAAGTGGGAACCCACCCTGATAGAAACAATTGTTCTGGTGTGATTGTAAATGATTGCTTTAAAAGCTGCGCACAGTTTGTCTTTCCTTCTCCGGCAACTCCCCTGAGGTTAATTAGTGCAATATTTTTTGTTAATCTAGTGGCAGGGAGGAAATTTGGAAGAGATAGCCAGTAGTGACCTCAAATTCATAGGTTCTCAACAAAAAGAGAAAAAAAAGAAAAAAAAAAAAAAAAGAAGAAAGAAACTGAGGAAAATAACTTATTTTAAACCAAAACATACCGTTTTCCTCATTCTCTTTGCCTGAGTTGGAAAGTAACATTTGACAACTGCTGATCAAGGCAACAAATCTTGGAAATAGTTTGTCATAAATATCACACTGAATCTGACAGAAAAGCCACCTTAGGATATCAATGCTAAAGCATTTACATGGGAGGAGAACACAGACTGAATGAAGTGAGATTCTTCACGATTTCAAGGCTGATAAATAAGGAAAACGCAGCACAATGAAGTATCTCCCAGCTAGCATCTGAGAAAAACAGGTTAAAAATAAATCATATGCAGATAAATACAGAGATGCTAACTACAGGAGGCTGTTACTGGGCCTTTGTAGCTGTTGGCTGCAACAGAAAAAATCACAACATAGAGGCAATGCTTTAGCACCATGCTGTTTCAGCCCAACTACTGAAATTACCAAGTATTTTTAGAAGGTATTTTGCACCACAAGTAGCCCATTAGAAGTAAGGTATTTGCAAGGATGCCAGCTGACAAAGCCACACTTGAGCCTATTCTTAGGGGGCTAAGTTATCAGATGTGCATCCAGGGGATGCTTTTGGGGAATGCTGAAGTTTGGGCAATGAGGAGTCATCGATGGTCACCTCTGATTCTAGACCTTATCACGAGGGCTCAGTAGAAACTATAAAATCTATAGAAATGACCCTCAAAGCTTTTCAGAATGTCAGAGTTAAATGCTGAATTTTAACATCTTGGACTTAACCAGAACTGGATCTTTTCTCCCCAAAGAGCCTCTCTTGATCTCTATCTCCTGTGCAGTTTTCATGCAGATGGTGGGGAGCTGTGCTGGCTCTGTCTATGGCTGGGGAGAATCCAAGACAAGAGATGCCCAGCGTCTTGTTTAATGCAGCATTTTTCACACTGGTGGGAATACCAGCAGTCTGATAGCTCTGTTCATTTTCAGAAAAAAAACAAAACAAAACAAAACTTTTTTTTTTTTTCAGTGTTCCTTTTCTTGTTTTTGTACTGTCTGCAAATACATTTGTGTCTCAGTAGGGGTTAGTTCATACTCACTCACAATGTTGGGGTTTGCAGAGCCTACTCGGCTGACGATCAAAGGATGCAGCTTTGGAGACAAGCCACTCTTCTGCCTCTGGGCTTGTCCTCTCCAAGTTCACAGTCTTCCTGGTCATTTAAAGGCAAACATCCAAATTCACCACCTTTTTGTGATGAATTATGCACTTATTTATGCATAGACTGCTGCAAAGATAAGATTGTGTGATAATACTTTTTAAATTTCAACTCACTTTAATAAAATCTATTAGGTTGCTAGGATCCTACTGCCAAGAGTGAGGGGTAATCATATGGGATGTTGTGAGTTAAAATCAGCAATTCTCTTGAAAACATCCTGTAGAAAACAGTCCTTCAGTCTCTCCAGAGGCAAGGAAAACCCCATTACTTCCAGCATTTCACAAAAGACTTTCTGGTTGTTACCAAAGATGCAAGAATTTTTAAATAGGTCAGTATGGTTCACATTCACAATGACAAGTGATAGAGACACGTAATTGACCTGAAAATTAAAGCTGAAAGCCCTCATTCCCCCAGAGCCCAGAAGGTCACAGAGGGAACACCAGAGTGCTTTCACCATTGGGAAGGCCAAGGGGGAATATTGAAAGTATTTGTTTTCCTCCATTGGTAATTACTGCCCTTGGAGTTTCCGTTTAAGAAGGCAATTTCAGAATGGAGGATTTTGAATAGCACATGGAACCATAACACTGGGTAACATTATTTAATTGCAGAGCCATAACAATGCTCGGTGTTTCAGCAGCCTTAAAATGTAAGTCTTAGTTCAGTAACCTTTAAGATTTGTTATTCTTTGCCTTATCACTGAGTCGTAACATTGTTGAGGTGGTTATCTCTAAGAGGTTTAAATTTCTAATCTATTAAAGTAATTTTAGCAATTTATTATTTCTAGGCCATTGAGGAAAGGTTAAAATGAAAATTACACTGGAGGGAATAAGTTCTGTTCCAAGCACAGGTTGAAAACATCTCAGCTGTAGAAAGCAGTAAGGTTTCAGGGGAAGAAGCACTTATCAAGGGAAATGAAATGACTGATAACTATTGATTAAAGCAGCTTGAGTGAGGCAATGTGAAAGGATTTTTTCCCCCAGTAATGTAACAGAGAATTTGCAATGCATGATTTAGACAGCTTCTACCTCGGAGGTGCTTTTGCACATCTGAGTTAGACTTTTAGCACTATATTACAAGAACGGAAAATTTCATTTTCAGGAGTACACAGAAAGACCAGCATTCATCTCTGCACAGCCATCCACCCAATTTAAATAAATCTACATGGTGCCGGAGAAGCTATGAATACTGATGTTGGGAGCAGGAGAGAGCCCAGAGATTCTCACATCCTAAGACCTCGTGAGTCCCAGCTGAACAAATCACCTTCACAACTCAAATCTGTGATGAGCAGAAGAGGCAATGCTCTACCTTGGCCAAGCTGAGTGTCATTTGGTTGTGGCTTAATGACTGCTCAACGCCTGTTGCAGCACTGGCATTTTGGTCATCGCTCATCGCTCGTGTGTCTCCTCCTGCCCCACAGCCCATGGCCCTGCTCACTGCTGAGCTTTGAGGGACCCAAATGCATCTGGGTTTCTGCCATGCCCTGCGAGTGAGACCAACTTGAGTGAACAAAAATCATTTGTCTCTATGTGCAGAAAGAGCAGCAGCAGGAAAACCTTGAAAAAAACAACCCTAACCCTTAATGCTAGCCTGTGTTTGTTTTATTTTATTTTATTTTGGTACAATAGCAGCAGTTGATTTTATTAATTTTTTACAACACTGTTGGGAAATTTAATAGTGCTATAAAATCTAGTATAAAACCTCTGTAATTGTCTTATCTCTTCAAATTAAATGCATACTCTGGGAATTTTAAAAATAGAGACTATCAACTGGATAGGCCCATTACTGTGAATAATTTCCCTCTTAAACAAATACTGAGTCCTGACACAATAGACAATAGCCCTCCTGATTTGTTTGGGGGTGAATATGCCAAGGCTCACTAAAAGGGGCGTTTTGTTCATTGACCCCTGTCTGCTGAGGGCTTCTTTTGAGCTGCCACGTGTGCAGAGCAAATTGCAAAGCACCATGGACTCTTGTCCACTGTGTGATTGCACAGCGAGTTGTTTGAAAACAAATAATTCAGTCATTTAATGTATTTTCACATAGTAAAACTGTGTAGTCCCTGGTACGGATGAATGGCACGTTCAGTAAAAGGAACAACCCACCTGGGGCCACTGGAGGTAAGTCTCCAGGAGGTGGTGGCACGGCAGGTTTTATGGCAGGGCACAGACTTTTAAGGCACAGAGTCACAATTTAAGCAGAGGAAAGAGGAAAATTGATGCCTTCCATCAGCCCAGGACCAAACACTCCAAACCATGACTTTCCTGATGGCTTCTAGGGTCATTGCTCTCCCCATCAGCTGGGCCCAGCTTTATCCCAGTGTGCCCACTACCCACTGCCCCAGCTAAGGGCTCGTAGCCACCATGGCACTCAGCTTCTGCAGCTCATCAAGGCTGAGTTTTCCTTGTTGATCATGTCCCAACTAAGGTCTTCTTGCTTCTGATGTATATATATATATATATATTATAATATATATATATATTTTAGTAAGGAGAACGAGACTTTGCAGGCAGTGACTATAATGAGGAGTTTTTGCCTTCAGGGATCATGTCTATCACTGACAGCAGTTGCAGGATGGATATATTTTATGCTCCTCTGCATAAAGAATAACGTAAAAAAGAACAAGAGCACCGGATCTGGCACGGTGTTTCCATCTTCCTTCCCTTGATCAGATGGCTTCCCATGCGGGGCTGGTGCCAGGGTGCTGTGCTGTGGGCAGGAACCACAATCCCTGTGCAAGGACGTGGAGCCAACAGGTGACACATTGTGTGTCCAAAGAGGACATCCAACACTCGTCCCATAACCTTCAGTCGTTCTTCTAAAGCCCCTGCAAAATACCTTCTCCCAAACAAGCACCAGATGGAAATGGATTTTTTTTTTTAACCTAATTGTGTGAATGGCAGGGGTGCTACTCATCGTCCTCCATCCTCCCTGCGTGCCAAGCACCCGACGGCAGGCACACGCTGCATGTTTTATTTCCAGAACGAAAGACACCATCTGCAGCGTATCCCCCTGTTTATGTCTGCTGCATCTCTGCAGACTGAAAACTGTTGTGTGTGTCAAAGCAGAGCCTCTCCAGTCGATGAACTTTTTATTTTATTTATTTTTTTCTTACAGGGATGACTCACATAATAGTGTAGAGAGAAAGTCATTTCCAATCACGAGGCTATTTCTGAAAACGTGCTTGGCACCAGCGTGGAAATCTTGGCTAAAGGTGGTTGGTTGTAGTGGCACACACAATACCCAAAGGCAGACGTCCTGATGAATTTCTGACAGAGGAGGCTGGGAGATAATTCATCCGGCAGCTTGAGAAGGACTCTACACCTCTCTTCCAGATAATTGAACTTTAATTTATTTAAATTTAATGGGAAACCATATGGAGAGGAACAGAAAGCTAATTTAAAGCAGTGCTCAAAGCAATCAATATGTTAACAGATTCCTTCAACTTTTCACACTTGGTTGCTGAAAAATGCTTAAAATGTATGTTTTTTTTATTTGGTATTATGAAAACACAGGGTTTCTGGCATGTTGTAATCAAAACTCAAGAGCCAAAATGAATCTCTGTTGTGAAAATGAAAATATAATTTGAAAGCACAGATCTTATTAGAAGTGAAAATAACAACTCAGATATCTTTTATCAAAAACCACACATCTCTGAAGTCTCCTAAGAAGACAAGTATAAATCCTAGAGTTCAAATTGCTGGCCTTCATATGGCTCAGAATGAAAGCAAGAAAATAGTTGTGTGAATTGCATTAACATACTGAAATTGGCAGCAAAAATACAGTAAAGAACCCTTGAATGTAAATGGAGTAAATACAGATTATGGCAGGAGAACACAAAATTACCAAGTATGCACAGTAAGGACGAGAGAAAAACTTTTATCAATTTTCATATTTTCCTTACACTTTTGGTCCACCTCAAGATCAATTCTTCCCATACTGAGTTTTGAAAAGCAACTTTCAACAGATTTTCAGGGGCAGGATATCTAATACTGTGCTTCTGCTCTTAGATGTTGATCTTGTAACACCAATCCTCTTGTGCCCCATGTTCAAATGATTATATTTTTTTGCTCACAGCAAGGTACTAATTGATTTAATTTTGTTATATATTAAACAAACTGTAGACATCTTAATATCTGAGAAAATAAGAAGCATTCTCAGATTTTATCTAATAAAAACATAATGGTTTAGTAATGTCAGTGAACTGTCAGTTTATATACGTAGTTTGTAATTTATGTTATGGCTTCATCTGTGCAAGGCCTGAAGAGTACAAGCTGCACAGAGAAGCAAAGCCTGCACTTTCCTAAAGTTTATTAACTTGGGATTGTTAAGAAGGCTGAAAGCTGAAAAGAGCAGATACTCCCTGCAATGAACTTTCAACAACCCTTACAAAGTCTTATGGAAATTCTATAAATAGTCTTCAGTCTAACCTCACTCAGGGCAGGTCTGACTTCTCTGTGGCTGTTTAAAAAAATAAAAAAAATTCTAAGCAGCATTTTGGACATTACTTTTTGTAAGCAAATGATCCTGCAGCCTTTTTCATTATCTGAGGCCTGGAATTCATTTCAGATTTTCCAAGTCTTCTCCCAGAAACTTATTAGTGAAGTGGTACAGCTCTGCAGAGATTAATAGCTCCAAAGGAAAAGGAGAAAATAATATCTACATTAGGTTTTTATTTTTATACTTTTTTTTTTTTATATATATATATATATATATTTTAGTAATGTAAGACTATGTTCCTTCTATTTCTTTGCACCTTTTTGCCTTGGATTTTTTTCTATGCTGGGATAGTCTTGACTATAGGTCAACAGAAAATTAAAGTTACTATGTCCTGTAAATACTGTTTAGTTCCTGCAAGATCAACATAATAGTAAAATTCCTGGATACCAAGTGAAAATGAAAGACTCTTTTAAATAAAATACATCATAAAACCAATGTAATTAAAATGTTTGTCTTCCAGTGGCTAGTCTGCTGGAAGCAGTTCACCTACAGTGGAATGCAGAGGAGCAGGAAATTATACTTTCTGTGAGCTTCTTAAGGCCTTATGGATAAAAATAAATTGTTATGATCAGTAAAAAATGTTATGGTCAGGCCTTAAAGCCAGCATCCTAAGAGAAGAGGATGAAGCCCGTGCCTGAGTCCCAGGATGCCTGCTGTAGCTGAGCAGTTTGGGTGTGAGATGCCCATTTGACAACCAGCCCTCCCTCCCTCTCTGGCAGGGCTCTAGGGCAGTGCTGGAGGGGTGCACCTTCCTGACCTCAGGTCTGGTGGCTGGGGTGACTTTGACCTTCTGCAAACTGCACCTTCTTCTTCCTGAATACAAGATTTCTGAATACAGTTTGCGGGTGGCATCTCACTGCTCCCAGCATCCCGGCTCCAAGTGTGAGCAGCCTCTGCTGATTTGGAAGAAGGCAAGCAAAACCCCTCAAGTCCAAAAGTTGTTGTGGTCTGTCAGGCAATCACTGGGAGGTCTAAAGAACAGAATTAATTAACAGCATAAATACAGTGCAATCAAAATTCATTAACAATTACTCAGCAAATCTCCTTTCAACCTCTCGCAGGGAAAACCACCCTTCAGAGCCTTTAATTACTAACTTGAGGATTCCTTCTGTTCTGTTACCAACTGCCACCCAGAAATTTGCCAAGTTTCATCTTTAAACAGTTTAGGTTCCTCCCTCCACCATGGAGTCCTATGGAGGGTTGCAAAATTCCAGCACAGCGGCTAGAAACCTTCTAATTCCACCCTCAAATGTATTCAAGACCTATATATATCCATTTCATCTTGTACTACCCTTCCACTCAAATAATTCTGGTTATCCCCAGAAGATTTTTATAGAAAATTATTCTAGCCTTCTCAGTCTTTAATCTCCTGGCTTTCTGTGTGATACCTGAGCAGCTAAATTGGTTAAGCCACAGGCTTTGACTGCAAGCTATAAACCACTCTGCTGATTTTCCTTTACACTCTTCCTTCCAGAAAGTGGTTCTGTTAGGCCAGTGCCCACTTACACTACCCTCCTAAACTATCTGAGATTATGGTTTTTGGGGAAAATGAAGGGAAGTGATAAGGCATAATTAGTGAGAGGACATTGCTTTATTTTCTAGGCAGTAGCTCCATGGCAGTGATGGTGATGGCTTCATTAAATTAATGTTGTAACTAGCTTAAATTATGGAATGCAGGGCTACAGAAAGGAGCAGGCAATAAGAGGATTTTAAACAATTAACATGGGATGTCCAGGGCTTGCTCATAGGGTAAATTGGTATTTGTATTTTTAATTGGTGAGTAGTGAGGTTGTTTCTTTTATTGACTTGAGGCTTTCTATTAGAGGCCTACATCCAAACATTGGCCTGTCCAGTAATTTAAGACACTCATCTTTGGAAATTGTTTCACAGCAGGAACATCATTAAACATCATTTGTGATTGTCACTGAAGTGTTTTGAAATGCTATGTCTCCTGCCTGTTATTTCTAGCCCTTGTCTCAGCCTGGCTGTATGCTAGTGGCTGTGGCACTTGTCATGGAGAAAGTACCAGGGGAGGGCAGATGTGGAGCCACACATCATCCTGAAGGCTGAAGTCCCCTGGCAGATTCCTTGCTTTCCTGTGAAGCAGCAGCTCCTGGGGCTGAGATGGGACTTGGCTGGAGATGGGCCACGTACTACATCTCCGCTCTTCCCACCTTTCTTTTGAGCATCATGCGATCACTTCTGCACTCCATGAAAGCAGCATTTGTTTTATCTGCAAAGCAAGATCATGCAAGATCATGACATGCAGACACCTTTATTTGTACTTGAGACCTGATGAAGACAGCTTCTGGCTTAAAATGTAATTTAGCAACTTCTCTCTAAAGATGAGCCCAAAAGATTATTGAAAGGAAAATCCCAAACCTCTAGTCCAAAGTATCATGGGGCATGTCTATAATTACATAGCTTAAAAGAAAATGCTAAACATAGCAATGTCAAGCCACACACAGTATGGGATCTCCTTTCCCAAAATCACAACCAGGACTGTGGTTAGCTCTCCAGGCATTTATTCAGAGGCAGGGCCAGCAGGAGAGCCTGCATCTTGTACGTGTGATCGTAACACCGTGATGTGAGCCCAAGGGAACAATGTCTGAGACTGAAGTGATGCTTTGTGCAAACAGGGGGATGCCTGGGGATTCTGGGGGGACATGCTGGAGAGAGGAAGGGATAAAGAAGCTACAGCTCCTGCTTGCAAGTTGTGTGCAGTACCTGGGAACCACACACCCTGAGGTGTGGAGCTGTTGTGAAGCAATCTGACCTGCCTGAGTGGCTCCAGAGGGGCCCCCAAACACTCGGAGTTTAGTAAAAACACTAAAATCTCTTCAGACTCACTCAAAAGGTATGGATGACATCATGTAATGCTGCTAGTGACTTCCTTAAACCACACATGGGATTAGAATAAGTTTATGTGCATGTTCTTCTGCGTTATGTATCAGAAGTAGAGCACGTGCAGATCTACTTTACAAACTGAAAGCAACACGATGCCCTCATACACCAGGTCCCGCCAGGGCTGTGCCATTTCTTTATGCTCATGTCTGCTTTCCTATAAAGTACGTCTGACACAGGCTCTTTAGTATCCTAAAGACCAATGGTGCACGTTATTAAAGTACTGAAATATAATACCAGAAGTTTGCATTTATACAGTAGTGTCTGTAATTTACACAATTAAAACAAAGAATGCAACATAAGAAGTAGTGCTAATGAATGGCTCCCCTCACCTTTTACAACCAAGACCCATCCATCACTTACAGGGGAAGCTGGCTTTTCAACTGACTTCACCCTTTATTAGAATTTATTATTTTTTCTTTCCATGGCAGAAAGTCTTTTCTGGTTCCCAAGACACAGTTCAGGATGTACAAATCAAGCGGTACAGAAAAACGTCAGTTGTCTGTTGACTGGAATAAGGAGTGTTGCTGCCAGGTGCCTTTGCCTGAGAAATGCACATCTCTGGAAAATATTGCTGCAGTTTTGCAGAGCACAACACCTGGAAATCCCAGCCCTGACTGACCCTCCATCTACGACACTGGTTGGATTGCCTGCAAGGAGCAAATCCTTTTCTCCTGCAGGATTTCCCTCCCGTCTTCTGAACCTTCAGTCTCACCTGGTCCTCACCGCCTTGTCTGTACTCCTTACTGAGCTGTCTGGAAATAGAAATAACAGCAGTCCCTCTAGACTTCTCCAATCTCTATGGAAAGATTGGTTGGTTCACTGTGATTCACTGTTGTTATTTTCATTTTTTTTTCCTTCCTCAGCGTGGGTGTATGTGTTAGACATTACCTGGCACAGAGACAGGCGAGGAAGGAGAAGGGGTTGGGCTGTGGGTGTGAAGCTGGAGCAGGCTGGAACTCGCTGTGCATGGTGTAGGGACACTGTCCGTTCCTGGGGCTCGCCCTTCAGATACTTCTGGTCCTATGGGAGAAAAGCAAGAAAAAATAAAAAGCCTTTTGTCTCAGATTGACATATTTTCAAACCATTTCAAACCATTCTCATTGAATTTTCTGGGGATAACCCTGCCAAGCAGAGCATCTGTCCTCAAAACAGGCAGCCAAAGTGAAGCAATGCTCTCTAACAAAGATGATAGGAGTGATGGGTTCATCGGCAGGGGAAACTGGAGATCGTGGCATCCCTCTCCCTGTTTGACAAAGAAACCTCCTTCTCCCTCCTTTGTTCTTCAGTCCATGCTACCTCAGACTCATGAGCTCCTAATATATTTCCCGTCACGTAGCTCCTTGCCCTTGTTTTATGGATGGGAAGCGAATTACAGAGAGTCCAAAATCTGTCCTGTGGGACCTGTGGGGATCGCTTTGCAGACCTGGACGTGGGTGACATACTAAAGACAGAGAGCAGGGAATCAGACCTGAGCTTTCAAAGTCCCTGTGACCACCACCAGAGAAGCAGCAGGTCAGAAATACTCCATTCATCATGGGTCAGACTTTTACAGAATAAACACTCAGCCACAGCTTTCTACAGCACCAGGAGCAAAACCTCTCTGTGCTAGCATCTGCGTAACATTTTAATCTTTTTTCCATTGGCCACTGTGTATTTTGTTCCTACACCCTTTTGATCCTAAGTGTTAAAAATGGGCTGACCTGGGTAGTCCTATATCCCTAGCCTGTGCAGACTGGCTGTTTCCAAAGGTCTCCCCATGAGTGTAACTTTTCCACAGCTCTTTGAAATGCCAGAGTCCTTCACAACCCTCGTTTTCTGCAGAAAGAGGCCGGTTCTTGTAATACACAGCAAGAAATTCCTGTGGTGGTGTTTCAAAGTGCCAGCACATGTGGACTGCTCTCTGGGTACATATTTTTACTGTTTCCATTTCAGCATGATTTAAGGCTGTGGGGAAAATAGTTACAAAGGGGCTAAAAACAAAACCCCGAGCTCTCTGAGATGGCTGAGGTTGGGCAGCTTAATTTCATACTTAGCAATCATGATCTGCAGCGAGATAATTAGACTCAAAAGTCGAAAGAAAAGAGCCAGATGTTTTCAGACCTGTTCAGCAGAGATTCTCCCTTTGATTGTGACAATTTAGCATATGAAATAAAACTATCTATAGTTGGAACTGGAGTTTAATTTCTGAGGAAAAAAAAAAAATCTGCTTCCTCAGAGGAAGCTATCTTGGAAAGGAACAAATAGCTTGTGAAAACTAGCAAGATAAAAGGCACAGTTAAGTCAAAAATTAATGAGTTTTGCCCTTTGTAGAGCTTAAGACCAGGCTACAACAGAAAGGCCATTGGAGTATATGATAAACTATTACTGCACACAAAGATAAGAATAAAAACTGTCCTTTTGATCTGTTTCCATAATAACAGTAACTTTGAGAAACAAAAGAAGTGCATAGGACAGCTCTGTCTACCAAAGACTTTAAAAGAATACATATGGAAAAATCACAATACTTGCAGTTTTTGAGTTGAATTTTCCAAATTTTTATTTGAATACTGGGCTAAAAAGAAGTCAAAAATGACAGTTCAAGTTACACTGGCTGAAGATTTTCTCACATTTGATTTTTTTTGGAGGACCTCAGCTCCAGCTTTCTGAAAGCAACCAAACAGATTGCAGGAGGATCGAGGAAGAAAAACGATAATTATGAGAGCAGAAGCTAATTAGGATTCTAGAGTATTGGAAAGACCAAGTGCACACAGACTGTGAAAGGTCAGGTAACTAAGAAACAGTCCAATTAAATTTACTTTCCCCTTCGGCTTTCCAAGAAAACCTCCACAGCCACAGAACATTTCAGACCCAAAGGAAAATTGCATGGAAATATTAGATTCACTTTAGAGAAAGTTTTTTTAAGTGTTTTCTCAAGAGCACTGGTATATGGCTGTAAACTACACATAACTTTGAACTGCAAGAGTAGAAATCATAGAAAAGCACCACACATAGCAATTATCTGATTACCCATCCTTATGTGGACGTGTAACAAAAACAGAGCTGCTCAGAGTCCACTCTGTGGCTGACCTTTCATACTGCAGAGCTGTAATCCAATAACTTCCAATATTTAATGTGAAACGTGTGGTCATGAATAAAATCTCTCTGGACTGGTCAGGAAGAGGAATGACTGTAACTCTGCCAAGAGGAAAGAAGTTACCAGTTCAGAAATCTTTACTGCATTATCTGGCTGGCTCTGAGCAAACTGCTGGGGGAACCAGCCATGCCACAAGCGGTGGCTGTTGGTGTCAGAGCTCACCCTGTGGCCACCAGGCACTGGTGTGGCTCATCTCCATGGTGTGAGATGTATTAATCATTTCCCACTTCAGATAATTGACTGGGGAAACTTAATCCATTGGTTCATGGTAGAATCACATATCATGCTATGATTTCCTTTCTAATAACATCTGTAATTCAAGACAATTCATATTTAATATTGTTTTTCCTGATAAAATATCCTACTGAGTAGTTTCTGCATATGTTCAAAGTTACATAGAAGGATTTCGTAACAAACTGTTGCACAATAACATAAAAATTTCTTAGAGGTACAATTAACCTGAATAGTTCAAAGTGCTCAAGCAATTGTTCCCAAATTGTTCCTATTCAGCTTCCCTTTCATAAAGCATGTGTAACTGATTTCTATGTACAGGCTAGCAAAGTCCAAGGACCAGTTTATTCCCTTAGCAAAACTGACACAGATCTTAATCTAGCTGCTTCTGTTTATGTTGTACGGCTAAAATTTGACTTTTTGTGGATGTTTGTACCATAAAGCCTTTCAGTCCCTTTTCTGCTCATCTTTTTGTTCCTCTCTTCTCATGGTTTCCTACCAGCCACTGCAATTTCTCTTGTGATTGTTCAGTGCACCCATGGACTCCTCGCCTGTGTGCTCTCAGTTTCATCACTCTCAATGACCCTTCTCACAAGCAGGCACAAATGTCTTACCCTTGCCTCAGAAGGTCTTTATTCACAAATTGCCCTCAGTGCTCAGATAAGTTAGAAGTATTAACCTTTTGCTAATGTTATCTTGTTTAATGATGAAACCCCCAGATCCCTAGCAAAACTGAGCATTGTTCCTACTACAGCAGAATAGAGGTGGCACACCCTGTGGATCACTGCAGCTCCCAGATCAAAGATAGCCAAGAAAGATTGGTGGATGATAATTCTTTCTTCATGTATAGCTGAATGAAACCATGCAAATAAAGCAAAGTTGTTCTTTAAGGCTTGCAAATAAGCCTTTTACAATGTGAATCATGGAACAAAAAACATCTGCAGAGAATGTTCTCTTTACATCTTTGAAAAACAGTCAGCATTTTATGAAACTATATTGCTACTGATGTTTATGCATTTCTCTGCTTTTACAGACAAATTTCCCTTCTGCATTTCTTAGATATTGAGATCAATACTGATTTTTTCCAGAGTCTGAGGGACTGAATTTGTTCTTTTATGGTTATTTCTTTGTTGTTCTTCAAACTGATATCTGCTCAACCAATTTGTTTAGAGCTTGTAACTTATCTGTGAGGTAGGAGGGAATTATCCTCATTTTTCAAGGAAGATGTCTGAGTTTCAGAGATTGACTTGCATAAGGTCACTCAGTGTGACAGAAACAGGTACAGAAGCAGATTCAGACCACTGGGTGTCCAAACCTATATTGAAACTGTTATATATCCTTCCTGGGAGAAGCAACTGGACTTATATCTGCAGAATATCCTGTTTTACTGTGGGCTAACTGACACAGAAAAACATTTTTAGAAAAAATAACGTGTAATGAATTAGTAAAAAGAAAAGTTGATTTTAAAAATGCTTCTGATGCCAATCGTAGAAGGAAATGAAGAATACATGTTGTCTTCTTCTGAAAAATTTTATTTTCCTGTAGTTTGAACCACAACACAATTCAGATCTTGCAAGAATACAGCAAGAGATTAAGCATGTCTTATTTATATGACATTTATTATAATAAATACTTTTTAAATGCTTGCAAAGTCCTGTCTTCCTAACCATCTGCTTCCAAACAGAATCTGCACAAAATACTACTTCAACTATTAAGATAAATGTATATAGGTGCTTTCTAGCCTTTGCTGGTCTTACAGGCAAAAAATGATTAGATGAAAAAGTGTCCCAATTTGATTAGGATGAAAATAAAATATCTATATATTCTGTTATTTGGAAGAACACATTGAAATGTGGCTCACCATCAGACACAGGAGAGTGTGATTTCTAATAGTCTGAATCTTTCAGTGAAATATAATAAATTTGTATTTACTTAATGCAAGACTATACAGAAATATTCTTATTAATGCTACTAGGATGCAAGTTCTGATATTCCAAACTCCAGGGGACAAAGACATCCTTAACATACACTTTGAGGCTTTGGTGGGTGGGGACAAAGCAAACACAATGTGATGCGCACAAGTGAAAACAACCCATGTCTAACTTAGCTTCAGATACTAAACATTTCTTTGTATTTAAGCTCATGTTTTAAGCTCTCCATATGATTGAAAGAGAAGAACTTCTTCCCTGTGCTATTTCACCATCCTTATGTCCCACTGAAGCCTAAACCTGAACTCTTTGCTGAGTGTTGGTTACCTGAAGTAGGAGAGAAGTTTGTCCTTGCCAGAGGCAGAAGAGCATGAAGAGAGGCTGGACAGGCAGCACCAGGACTGTCTGGCCCAGTTTTTAATTTCCTGACCATTGATACCATGGAATGCCCCGTGCTGTAACAGGTGGCCTGGATGAGGCCTGAAGGATTCACTAAGAACACAAGCCGGCCCACCGGGGCATCATGTATATTGAAAACACAGAGGAGCAGAGGTGCTGAAAGCCTCAGGATCCCTGATGCTCTCCTCTGAGGGCTCTGGTTTGATTACAGAGAGCTGCAAGGAGGCCATCTCACCTCACACATGACTTCTCTTCTTGACAGTGCCATCAGGATCCTTGCTCAGAGCGGGGACAGTGACTGTGGTGGTGGAGGTTGTGTAGGCGGTGGGTGCATAGTCATTATGATCCCCGGGTCACACGCAGCCAGGAGCGAGCAGCTGGAAAAAAATGGCTTTTCCGGGGCCTGGGTTACGAAATTTGTTCTCCTGATGATGAGAGTTCGTTCGGCTGTGACGTGGGGAAGCAGATGCAAGAGATGACTTATCACAGGAAGTCTACGCAGTCCCCAGGGGAAAAGCTGTTACCAGGTGGTTGTTATCATGAGAGAGGAACAAAAAGCCGTAAATCCAAACCAATGCTCCTACGCTTCCTGGGTGCAGTGGGATATGTTGTGCTTGGAGAACGTCAGTCCCAAAGTTTAGCTCGCCTAGCACTCACCGCCTAGCAGGCAAACAAGAAGGAGCAGCATGAAATGTGTGCAGACTCTTTCCTCTGCCCATCTATGTCCTCTCCCTCTAACTCTATGTATTTTCATCTTGCATTTTCACGTGTAGATTTCTTATTTCTCTTTCTGCATGCTCATGCATATTAGCATCTAACATCTCTGACTTAATTCTCTCGGTATCTTCTTCCCCAGCCCAGATTTGACCTCACCCTGCATGGCAAAAGCTTGTTCATAAAACTTGCTCCTCCTAGCCACCTAGCTAGTTCCTTATTCAGGCAGCTGCTCTTCTCTTTCTGCCTCTTTCTCATGAAAAAAAAAAAAAGGTCTCAGACTGTGTGTAAAGAAACCTTTACAGTTCCACTTTTTATTGTCATGTATATAAGTGCCTAGGAAAAGGGGACATGGGAGACACTGCAGATCCTCTTGCTCTCATGGGATCACCCAGTCTACCCAACAGATAAAGGGGGTTATACAGTCCTATTTGGAATTAAAACTGGGCTCCTATCTTGAGAAACTTTGGTTCCTTCCTCCCAGAATGATCCCCACCTGGAGTACCCAGTTTTGGGTACTATATTGCAAAGACACCTCAGATCAGAGGCTGTGATTTCCTCTGGAGGTTGCAAATACCCCAGGAGAGGCATGGCAGAGATGGGGATGATCATTCAGGCAAGCAGGAAAGAGAACAGAAAAACAGGTTAAAAACATAAAGTCCCTGGAAAAGAGCTCAGATTTTTAGACATCATTGATTTGATTTTTTAATCTCTTTTTCCAGTCTGAAAAATCCCCCAAATGAGAAGCATGTCTCAGGCAAACGCAGACATCACACAGCCCCCACCACCGCTGTGCAGCAAGGCACAGGACAGCTGAAGGCTGCAGACATGTGAGCTGTGCTTCGGCCAGGAATCACTCTCAGCCTCTTTCCAAATACCCTTTGCTACACCACAGACACCACGATCAGTGCAAACAGCGTGTGTTTTGGCAAAAGTGGAGTCATTCCTGCAAAACAGATATTAAATATACTTCTCAGCTCACACAGAGTGCCGTCAGTGCCCATCAAGGTAATGAGGAGGGAAGATGTTAGGAGATGGCACTGGGCTCTGCAGCATTATTCGCAGCTAATTGGGTAGCAGGAGCCCAAGCTCAAGGCTGGATCCTTAGTTTTTAAAGAGGTGCATGGAGTATTAAGCATTAGTAGGGATGGGAATCATCATGAAGCAAAACAAAAAGCCTCGCGTCCCGCTATGAAAATGTAAGTTTAAGTAGAGCAGCTGCCAGCAGAGAGATAATTGGGTGCACTCCTGGCCTTCGCTGCAGAGCCTACCATGCAGCCAGCCCTTAAAAGCCATCTCCCAGCGAAGAAGAGTGCCTGCCTCGTATTAAGCTGTTTAAATGGTGCACTGTAATTATGCTTACAGATGTTTTAAGAGTAGGTAAGTAGGAAACTGCAGGTCTTTAATTATAGGTCAGCCTGCAGACAGTGCGCTTGGCTCGACTGAAAGCAAAGCCTCTGCTGCCTGGGGCGATCTCGGAAAGTGCCTGGGCAGGAGCTGGAGCTGGTTCCCTCCTGGCTTCCAGCTTCCCACAGCAAACACAGCTTCCCACGGACACATCCAGCTCTGAGAACTTGCCACAGCAAACACAGGACACAACAGCAGTCCCTGCCCGATCGGGTGAGAGGCACCGAAATAAGGCTGGGTTTTCCCAGCTCCAGAGCTCCCTGAACTGGGTGCCCCCCATTTTGCATCCTGTGGTATGTGGCCACCTCATGCAGGTGCTGCTGATGGGTGCTGGGTCACAGTAGGTCTGAGCTGGACCCTGTTTGCCCTTTCCTTCCCCACTGTTGCTTTCCCACCTACTGCAGAACCGATGAGCACACCCAAGCGAGACGGAGTGCTTCTAATTACAGGGGACATGGCAATACTGCTGTCTGCCTGATTCCACAAGAAAACACTTTCTCCCTGTCCTTGTCACCATCTTGACTTCTTGCACCCTTTCTTGTGATGAGCACCTCAGGGCAGTGTCCCTGTGTATGCACGAACGTGCAAAACATTACGAGTGGAACTGAAAAGCACTGGCAATGGCAACAGTGCCAGCATGTTAAAAAAGCTGGTTAACCAGGAGCAGCAGCCGTGTAAGAGGTGGCAACCCTTTCTGCAGAGTGATGCGCCTCGTACACATTCGGTGGCAGCTCAGCCATCAAATATCCTGCTGCCTTTTAATTAATTTTTACTTCTGCTGCCCTGGCAGGGCAGTGCTACCTGAGAAAGAAAACCAAGCTGAATGCCTCCTGGTGTGCTGCCTGGCAGCTTACTGCTCGAGCTGGGCTTGCTGCTGACTCGGTCACCCCTCGGTCCCTGGTTGTACCCTGCTTGCACACCTACAGCATGTTAGGGGACAGGACAAGGTGGCGTTGGCACTTCTGGGTGTAGGGACAGCCTGGGGACCTGCCGCTGCTCGTCACCTCTGTCCCACCGCAGACCTGTCCCCTGCCCTGGAGGATAAATACTGCTCTAAAACCAGCTTCCTTCCCCACTTTCAAGGCTGGAATTGAAATTACATGAGGGACCGAAAAGCTGAGCCTTTATGAAGACTTTATGAAGACAGAAGGTTTTGTCAGTTTTGTGTTTTTATTGTTCTGAGGCAATAGGAGTCCTGCCCGAGGCTGCGCGGGGAGAGAGGAGGCAAAGCGAGGATCCTGCTCCCAGGGCAGCAGGTATAGGCAATAAGCAATAACTAATATCGGCAATAAGCGTGACATGAGAGGATTTCACACCCACTGAGAAATGCGTAGCAGGTTCCCGTGTCAATAGGAGCAGTACCAGTGGCAGCTAGCAGCGAGGTGCTCGGGCTCATCGCAAATCCTTTATCAAGTGACTGAGGCCGGGGGAAGGCATCACAGCCATCCCCGACTTTTATTAAAAGAAAGCAAACTAATAAACAGGAAGGAGCTGCATGTGGAGAGACCACAGTCGATGGAATGAAATGGGAATAAAGGTTAAAGGATGGTTAGCAAATTTAAATGTGAGTGCTTCCAGACTCTCTTGGAAGCGGATGAAAGACTCTGATCTCCTCCAGGCTATTCTGAGAGGTTTTGGTTCAGGGCTGAGAAGAGCATTATGTAAAATATGCTTTCCTGCAACAGTTCCACTGTTTCACCGTTTCCTGACCTTGAAAATCAGAATAATTTAACTATTTCAATGGGTTTGCCATAGTGACGTCTACTGATAACTTGGAGCTAAGAGCTTGCCCACACTTAAAGCTTGTCAGCATGGCTCTCTCACTAGCAATTCTAGCTTTTACCAGCAAATGCTTTTAATGGCAGAGACGTGTCAGACATGTAGTAGTACATCGAGTCGTTTGTGTGAACAGAACTGCTGTCTCAGTGCTTGAGGTGTAGCAGAGGAAGGTATGCTCATACAGGACAGAGAAAAACCCCATGCCTCTGTTCCTCATATGCTCAGAAATACAATATCAGTGTCTAAACACCTGTGATCCAGGCCTTTTATTATTTTTTTTTTTTTTTTGTTCATGTTGCCAAAATTTCAAAATTTTGTTGCCAACATTTTTTCTTTTTTTCTTTTTAAATACTTGACTTGAGAGAAAGACCTCGCTGTTGTGTGGCACCTTTCTGTGTGAAACTTCTGTATTCTGTGTCACCTCAATCCACCACGAGTGTCAAGTTTTACCAGTCAGTGATGGAGGATGTGCCCACAGAGCATGGTGAGGAGCAAGTCTAAATGGCAAAGCCATTGATAGGACACAGAAGTGCTTGGATTAGGCACAGGACTCAGATCTCAAACTGGCATTTATATTCTTACTCGTCCTAGTCTATTGTATACAGATAAGAGATTTCCACTTCATACAGACATTACTTACAGCTCATTTTAACCTGAGAAAAGTTGACTCCTTTAACTTGACTGATCTTATTTCCCCCAACTGCATTACATCAGAAAATTATACATGTGAATCATGGAAGTGATTGTGGGATGAGCCCTGTGTATGTTCTCCTGCTTTTTCAGAAATTGGCGACTACCACAGAAAACAAGTTCAAGGACAATAGCTATGAAACCTTCCTTCCTGGCTTCTGGGGAGTGACTCTCTGGGATCTCACAGAACTCGTGAAGTGAGACTGGGTTGCATATGAAATCAAATAAATAAGTGGGTATTTTACCTTGTCTTTCTCTTGTATGTACAGATTTCCTGTGGGCTACAGATTTCCTGAGAGCTAGTAATAGTTCTCTCTCTTCCCTCTTTCTCTCTCTGTTTTAGTTTTGACTACCAGAATTTGTAGATAAGTCAGAAGTATTTCATCAAGTGTTACAGTGATCTCTTCCCTCTTTCTCTCTCTGTTTTAGTTTTGACTACCAGAATTTGTAGATAAGTCAGGAGTATTTCATCAAGTGTTACAGTGAGCCATAACATTTTTTTTTCCCTTCTTTTTTTCTTCTTCCTCCTCCTCTCCCCCCCCAGCTGGACAATAGAGATTTGGAAAAGAACAAAACAATACAAAACAAAAACAAACAAGCAAAATAAAAGCAACCAAAACCAAAACAACACATCATTACATGCCTACAGACTTTTCTGTGCAGGAGGATGTGGTAATGCCAACTCTGCTCATTAAAATATCTATTGATTTATTTAACAGATATACTAAAAGCACTGGCTATAACAGAGCATCTACAGATTCCTTGGCAGACAGTGCTCCCAAGCATTTACCTTCCTTGGCACCAGAAGGCATGTTCAGAAACTTCCTATGTTCAAGATTTTATGATCACAAAACCCTCTGCAGATATCTCTGAGTGATGAACTGCTTGCATGTATCTGCTGTACAAAGGCATGCTTTTAAATGCAGTGATAAGCTGGAGAACTGTCCAAGCCATACACT